ATGGTTCTTTACTTCGAAACATTATAGTATATAAATCGCGACTAATAAAACTAACTGTAGATATCGTATGTAATGATTGGATTCTAGTTTCCTATAGCTCCTATAGATAGTTTAAGATCACCTTACAATTCAAGAAAATGGCGTAGTCAACTAAAAATAAATAAAATACCCACGTGAATGTACTGAGAAAAGCTCTACTAGTTTCGAGCTACAGAGGGGCTCTTCCTCATGAGTAGCGTACGCGGTCGCGGCGATATCACACACGCACAGCCTACCGTGACTTTTAATGAATTTAGTAGGTATATCTCACGATAGTTCTTGTAGAAAATGGCGTAGGTTAAGTATAAACGGTAGCTAAGGAAAACTGCACGAAAGACTAAACTCAGTTTAATATAAACTTGATTATTATATATTTACACTCAGAACATACACACATTGACACGAAGTACATCTGTCATTTTCTTAAGTTTGATAACGCGGTAAACCATTACACACGCACACATAAATAACCCACCGACATTTGGTGCTTCAATAATTTCTAAGTGACATATATTTAACGTCCTTGATTAAACCATCCAAATAATTCAGTTTTCATTTAATGCTAGAAAAAGAGTTCCAATTATTCATATCTTACTAACACTAACACCACGATAGAGAAATGTGGACCTAACCACTATAATTATAGAATCTATCGATAAAAGTGCTAAAATATAAAATGAACAAGTTTCGCGCGGCCACTAACAGCTACTGTCATCAATTTACGTTTTCAATTTATAACAGAAACAAAAAAAAAGAAAAAGTACCAAACGAAACCCCCGATAGTGTAATGACGATTATAGAGGGTGATAAACCACCGCGCATTCGATTAGTGACGTACCCACGGACATTATCGATAAATCGGTAAATCCATTCGATTGCCGGCCAACGCTATCTTGATCTGTGAGGCCGCAAAACAATAACTTTATGTTTTTTTTTTATTAAAAAGTTAAAATGTTGTGCAAAGAAAAGTAATGAAGGCTGCACGTGAAATAATTGCGATTGTTTTTATTATAGTCCACAGCTTAATGGAGTGCTGTTTAAATAATTATGCGAGGTATTGAAATGTTTATTTCAGTATAATTCGTATACATTATAATGCTACAGTTACTGTTAAGAATTGTAAAGTATAATTGCAATGATAGCCTTGACGTTTTTGACTGACAATTAAGTTACCTATACAAAAGTTGAATTTGTTTTTATTATTGTTGGAATTGTTTATTCATTTCCATTGTACACCCTGTTGTTACTTAATTACTTTTTGTGATGGTTTTTGTATTGCTTACGATGATACGCTCTTATATTGTTTAACAATTGTGTTTTAATGCTGCCTTTCAAAAGTAATACTTTGTTACGAATTTAAGATCAAATTTTTATTATGAAGAAAATACCGATTACCTAGAAAGAAAGATATAAGTCAAAGGAAAAACACATTAAAATTCTATAAAAACCTTTAAATAAAACTCTAAACTTAATTAAACACACACAATGCCATTGCCCAAACAAAATCAGTACCAACACAACGACAATCCATAATAACGTCCAGCCAATTGAAACTGACGTCGATAAACTATGATCTATCGACATAAATCTATCGATATTATCACATCCCTGGCTTCCATATGGTGTGTCCCAGGCGCCAGTAATTGGCCAGGCTGGTCGTAAAGTGTACCGTACCGTTTGTTGGTGACAACGGCATTGTTGGGGAAAATATTATTTATTTTATATGTTAGGCTTTACCTGGAACATGTTTTGGTAGGTTTTAGTATGTTTCGGTGATATTTTTTGGTTGTTTCGTCGGTTTTTCAAATGAACTTAATTTAAGTCTTTCTAGACGTGACTATGTTTTTTTTAACGATGAATTTGTAAAACAAACTTATGATCCACCCGATGGAAAATTAACATAGTGTATCAACATTTACAATACTATAAAAACTAAGTGTTCGTGTAGGTATTGCTGGTTCACGCTCTATAAATTTTTTCACTTCTTTCTAAAACCTACACAGTTAAAACAACTGCCTTGTTCTCCATTAAGTTATAAGGGTAGACCCTATTACCATACTTTATGTACAGACACCTAACTTTATGTTGTTTCATTGCGAAATTCGCAACCAAACAACCTAATAACACATTATAAGACCTCTATGTTGAACTTAAAACGTCTTGTTTAGCGTTAGTTATATACGCTTACAATTTCTTGTCTAACTTAAAAGCACATTTTATACAACTCGGGAACCGAATAATTAGACATTACCTATTGTAATGACCACTTCACATACACTCATGTGAACTGTAACTATCATAGATATTATACCATTATCATGGCGATCAGATAATAACTGGTAAAAAGAATTAACCTTTTGTATTTACCTATTATTGAAGATATTGGATGTAAAACAGACCGTCTAGGACCACCTAAGACTATGTAGGTAGTGAAACAAGTGAAACAAGTGAATTTAATTCTGCAAATAAGCTACAAGGCAGCACTTTTACACGTCAATTTTATCAAGCGAACGATGAGGTCGACGTCAATTTTAACAAACACTAGATCTTATCGATTAAACAATACAAAATTACATTTAATACTTTCACTAAGCTCGATCAAGTATGTTATTTTATGTAGTTGTTTGACGACTGCTGACGCTTTTTTGTAAAAATTAACTAAGGGATTTTGTTTATAAGGGGGGAAACTTCGAATGCCTTCTCCCGGCTGGGTGAGGTGGGAGGGAGTGTCAGACTCTTACTGACTAAAAACCACCAAGCCCCAGCAACTCGTTAAGTCCTCTGCGGCTCCAATTAACTCGTCGAGTACCGGTTTTGTAGACACAATTATAGAACAATAGGTTGCGGTCACCGGTGACCGCTTGGTGTTTGACAGTTTAATATATTTATTGAATAGATTATGTACCTTGTTTTCTTTTCTCATTAATTCATAATTTTATTTAGTCGTTAAAAGCCATTGTTACTTAATTACTGAATATTACAGATCATTCTTCTGTGCTTACTAAGTCATAATAAAAATTACATAAAAGTCAAAGTCACAATCAAAATAATTTATTTCTATTCGACCAGAAAAGCACTTTTGAACGTACGTAAAACGTAAACACAAAATATTAAAAAACGTTAGTCTGTCGGTCAGTTCTATAGTGAAGCCATTTGCTCATTCCAAAGTGTAGATTCCTATAAAGAAGAACGAGCAAAAAACTCCATAGGTTACTCTATTTCAATCATGTTCACAATACTTAAAGGTTATGCAATAAAGCACATTTTCCTACAGCATAATAATAATAAAACACCCCTTATAACCCCAGCATCCCCTTTGCTCAATGAATCTGATTTGTCACACAAACCACGCCCTCTCGTCTCTACTGTAGGTACTATTGTTATTATATGATGAAAAGCTGCATATAATACTTGCTGTTGGCCGCAACTTTATCCGCGAAGAACATATATAGAACATAACTTTTGTTTTGTTTCAAATATCTTGTAGGGGTTAGGTAGTCGGAGCCGCGGAAGACTTAACGGGTTGCCGGGGCTCCGGCTCGAAGTGCAGGAGTAGGAACGGGGGTGGTTTTTAGTCAGTAAGAGTTAAGAACACTTCCTCTCGCCTCACCCGGGCGGGAGCAGGCAATAGATGACTAACCCCCCTTTAAAAAAGGTTATTTCCGATCTAGACTTTTGTCTTTTAGATTTGGTTGTGTGTCGGTGTATTTCAACCACCACCCACAACTTGCTAAAGATGACGCTCCATTCTTGGTTATATTGTTACTAAATCTTGTAACTTTTAAGATTTCTTGTACATTTCTTGTAGATTTTCGATATTAAAAATGAATGATTAATAAATATATGCCAGGTGCTTCGCTATCCCCAAATGAAGAATTCTTCAGAATTTTCCACCTTGACGTTAAAAAAGATATAATTTATAAAATAAATTATTTTCGATGCCACTAAATTAGCAAAAAAATCTATAGAATAAAGACTTATCTCTAATCTCTACTAAACATATAAATACCATAAATATTATAAAAATAATAACGAATTATCAATAAATAATTATAATAAGTAAAGCGTTATCTTTCCTCGCACCTTTAAGGTGTTAATTGGTTTAGAATTCCTGTTGTTATTTTGCAAACGTCCCATCATAGAGTTGTGTAATTAAAAAATTATAATTATATCTTTTTAATTACGATGTGAGACATCAGTTGGCTCAGCTTCACACCTGCGCAGTTACAAACACTAGATAACATCTACGATCGAGAATTGAATCGTAGAAAACGTGTCTAGATTACTACTAGACTAGACTAGACTTAGTATTATGGAGGTGACTAGATTTCTGCACGCGGTTTTGCTGTTGTCAAAGGAAATAAAGTGCCCTGTAGCTTTCGCTAACCACTGAAGTATTTAAAAAATTACTATAGTTAATATAACTAGGTATTTTTGTGGCATTAGCCCGTAAACGAGCAGGCGGATCACTTGATGGTAAGCAATCGGCGCCGCCCATGCCCACGTGAAACACCAAGGCGTACAAGTGCTTTACCGGCCTATTGAGAATTGGGAATTTGAGGATTGTGGAGGATTCGGGAATTGAGAAGACTGGGGAGGGGTAATTGTGCCTCCGGTAACCTCACACACACGACGAAATACAATGCAAGCGTTGTTTAACGTCAGTTTTCTGTGAGGCCGTGGTATCACTCCGGTCGAGCCGGCCCATTCGTGTCGAAGTATGGCTCTCCCACATAATTTAAACGTAATAAACAATCGAATATTAAAAGGTCCTCAATTCTTTGTATAATTATTGTTAAGACTTTCTTGCTAGGTCATGTATGAACGAAACCTCGTATTGGAACTAAAAGCTAAATTCACACTACACTAGATTGATTGAAAATTCTATTTGATATTTTAAAAAACTGCTAAAATTAATTGTTTTTAAATTAAATCTTTAATTGTGTTTTCTATTGTTTCAGTGGTCATGCACAAAGAAAAAGAGGACATCCATGGTCATAGAAGAGAGCACTCCCCCTATGACCACGCCATGCCGGATGGAGAGATGTTCTTACAGGTAAGTATTATAATATAACATATCTTTGAAAAAGACTTGTCCAATAGAAGCGGTTACGCGCAGTTACGCGTGTTATGTTATGTTAGTTCATCGTGGAGCACGCTGCTCATAAATATAACTCTCAGAGTGACTTGAAGCGAGTAGAGCTTTTCGAATAGTTTAACTAAGTGGTATTATTCAATTTATTAAGATTGCTTCTAAGTAATCCTTTTATAACAATGTGACTACCACAACTAGAGAAAATTGAGTAAAGTATAAGCAGAAACTTCAGTTATGTTATCGGGAAATTGCACCATTGAAATTTTATGACTAGATAAAACACATAGATAATTTGCTTCAGGAAAAGTATTCTAAAACCTACCTATATAAAAATGTCACTACAATATCCATGATAAACAACAAATATTTACTAAGGGCGAACCATTGTCTATTATCATACTGTTACAGCATAAACTTTTAACCTTCAGCCCAAGGTTAAATATAACCGAGCTAAAGTTTATCAATTTTATTAACTTTTTCGATTTATAGGTTAGCTGGTACTACTGTAGTAGGTATAATGTTGTTTATGGATCATTTTTAGCTTTATTTGTTAGGGTTTATTTATAAATAACTGGAGGAAATGCGACTTGGGATTAGGTATTTTGAATGACGTATGCAATAGTCAGTTGGAAACTAAGGTTTTTTGTTTATGCTGAATGTATATGTAATTTGAAGAGGTTTATTATGTTGTGGGGAGCCAGTGGATGCAAGTGGCGAGTTGTCGTTCGACGTGGAGGACTAAAGGGTAGACCTTTGTCCAGCTGTGGACGTCTTTCGGGTGTCGATGATGATGGTGATGAATGTGTCTGAAATTGTGAAAAAATATTAAGTTATTTATCATTATTGGAGATAGAATAGATGAAGAGTTATTGAACTATCTATCTTTTGAATGTAATGTACATACATTATACATTGATAAATTCTAGAAGGTCGTGGTCGTAGTGGCCTAGAGGTTTAAGACCGCAGCTTCTCATGGTTTGAAACTTACCAACGCCAAGTACCAATTTGACATTATCCGAGTTATAATAATTATGTAAAGTACATAAGATTATTTAGACACCACTGACAAATAGTGAAGGAAAACATCGTGAGGAAACCTGGGCTTATAATTTTTATTATTTGATCAGCAGAGGACACTTATACGCTATTGATGTGATGTGATGTGAAATTGTATAAGATTCAGTAGGCACTATAATCTTTAATTGAACGTTTGACTTTAATTTATCTTGAGCGTGTTCTTTTTTTAACCTGTTTATGTATTTAGTATTTTAAGTCTTGGTTCAAACAGATTATAGGATATATAATCGACAATTTCAGCCCAAGTAATATAGTAAATAATATTTCCACAACAAAATATATATTTACAAGCTAAAACAGAACAAGGTATGACCAATAAAGATGACATTACACAGTAATAAATTATGAATAGTTAGTCAGATACAAAATAAATCAATGGGAAGTATCGATGCTATAAATAATCTGTATTATGTGTTTATTCTACGTCCTCTAGTTAGCCTGATGTTTCCATTGTTGTACGACACGACTATCTATAGTATGAAATAACGTAATTTGTTTTTTGTCTTTGTGACGAAAATATGTACTACACTTTTACTCCTTTAGGTCAAGAATCTGTTGCCTTATTTAAATTAAATACTGTAACACATAAGTGTTAACAGACAATTAGTCTTTTAAATACTTAGGGCTGATTTTCAACTATCAGTTATTAACTGTATCATAAAATTGACATTTGAAAGTCTTTAGTGTGGAACAATTGTCCAATATTCAAAATTATTCGTCAAACTTCGGTTGGAAAACTCATTATATTATAATCTAGATATTTTAGAAATATATTTTAATTCTATTTAAACACTGCTCTGCCTCGTTGACCGACTCGACTGCCTCGTTGGCCAAGTGGTCGCAAGTGCGACTGCCGGGCAAGGGATCTTGGGTTCGATTCCCGGGTCGGGCAAAGTATAACTGGGTTTTTAAGAAAAATCTCAGTAGTAGCACGGAGTCTGGAAATGTCCCCGGTCATATATCGGCAATAGGCTCACCCTCTATTACAAGGGACTCATAACATAAATAGTGAAAAGTGGGTGTTATTTCTGTGTGCACCTCTGCCTACCCCTTCGGGGATAAAAGGCGTGATGTTATGTTATGTCTACTTAAACATTGTCCATTAAAAAACTTTATAAATATAAATATAAATTCAACGTAAATGTAAATAAGTGTGGTCAATGTAACCGCGCTCCCCACATTTCTTCGTCCAACTTGGCTCGTAACTCAGCCGTGTGTCTGGCCAAGGAAATAGCTACGAAACCTGTCGAAAAACTTGCCAAGTCTTTATTGTAGTCGACAGAATAATTTCGGTCCCCACATCAGGCCAGAATTCTGGTAAAAACTTTTGTTTTTTGTAACTATTCTTATTTGAAAGGCTCAGTCCGGAAACAAATTTTTGTTTTATTTTATTTTCTTGTTATTCCCATGGTGATGAAGTTTTCTTACATGTTGTTGATAATGTAAATGTAATCATTGATAGGAATTTCCTTTTTTCTTTCAAACAATACAATAAGTCCTGTAGCTTTATAAAGGAAATTGGTATTAAATCGTCTATGCTACTAAATGAATTTCGTCTGTAGATTTAAAATGTTGCCTTCATAGTAACTCTTCGAGGAATGAAGATATAGTTTTGTGTATGATGGAAGAGCTGAACTTTTTTATTTTAATTTTTTTTTCATTGCAGGCACTCAACGGTTTCCTGATGATCTTAACGTGTGAAGGCGAGGTGTTCTTCGCGACGCACAGCATCGAGAGTTACTTAGGCTTCCATCAGGTATGTGTCATTATTATTTACTCACTTATCACCTATTTACCTATTTATTTTAAACAGTCACAACAGTAGCTAATCATCCAAGGAGTTATCATCCTTCATAAGTTTCTCTTGCAGTACTTCAAGCATTCTGGTAAAAGCTCCTTCTAATCTTCTTCTAAAACATATGTAATCTCGTTAACTAAATGGACAAGCATAGTTCCTCGGTTTGGGCAACTTCCTTCTTGATCACTCTGAATGTCAATAAACCTCATTTTATTTTATTTCTTTATATATTTAGGGGCTTTTACAACGCACAACGTATGTCAGTCCCAACGTACTCTAATATAGTATGAGTAGGTACACAAGACTGTCTTAGGTCCATAAAACTGAACAAAATCTTCGCATCATCAGAACTCGGCTTTGTTAACATTCTATAAAATGTTTCCATGTCGATGCTGTTCAATTTCAATACTCTAAACATATTAATCCTATCAGCCTTATCCTGAACACATTTCATCAACAAACGATTATTAGATTATCAGTGTCAGACAGCAGTCTTAAACAACACTACTGATAACCTTATTATATTCACTTTATTGAACTAAAATAAACATGTTTAATTACTTAGCTACGTAAAATACATCGACATAGAGCTTATATAACAACAGTCAACTTAAAACCACTAACAAGTATACTAAAATCACTCATAAAAAAGAATTTAGTTACCAAAAAACTCGGCCTTGTTCACAACTATAAAATTTAACAAACAAAATTGTATAATGCGGCCGCAACTATACAGAAATACCACGAACAATATACTACTCGATATGCGACACATTTTCACCCACAAAATACACTTTAATTAATTACATTATTTCCATATAAAAATTACCCTATTTTTTTCCTTGTGAAAAGGTCGCATTAACCTTATTAATCACTTAGCCCGTATAAGATAAGGTTTGGACCAAAATTTAATTATTCATAAAATAAATGTGTAATAAAAATATTAATTAAGCCGCGATAAGTACCCATAGAGCCTTTAGCACCGCCCTAGCGTTATCAATGGTGACTTTTTATCGGAGTTTTCGACGAATGGCTTTGTAATCTTTTCGATATTTTAAATATTTTCGGGTTTTAAATACTTTTTTTGGGTAAGTGGCTTAGAACTCCGCCCCCTTAAGATTGGTCGTGATTGTGTGTTGCTGCTTAAAATGCTTTTAAAATTAACGTTGCCTAGCTCAATCTTTTATGAATTCTTCTAATAGGTGTGGTTAGTTGTTTTATCATTTTAAGTTTGCTGATAATATCTTTTCTTACATTTCATTATTTACTCGAGCAAATAACACTTTATTTTCTTCTTATTGCAAGTTCATCACCGCAGCATAAACGTACCTACGTATGATAGATACAGTTGCATTGAAAAAACCATAACCTTTCAAATTTGTAGTCATAATAACTTCCTACCAAATATTCAAAAGGCAATAACTCAAGCACACATCCGTATACAAAAAATAAATCATTTTCATATCCTAATACGACCCACAAAAATTAACATAACCACGGAATTACGAAAAAAAAATCATCAAAAACAAAAAACTGCGTCGCATATTTAAATTGCTCGTTAACAAATGCCCTCCGCATTACAACTAATAAAGTCTCCGATGAAATATTGCTATTAGAATGTAAAAACCCCCGGCTTCGACCCCCTACGACCCCCAGCTATAAAACTTTCAGTTGGCAGTGATCGTATGCGTATAAATTTTACGTTCAACCCCCCTTCTCTCTTTGTTTTGTTTATGCTCAAAGCCAGCTAGTAATTCGGTTACCTGTACGTACTTTCGTGGGGCAAAGATTATTTTAATAGAACAGACATTATCATGACAATGGATTGATTTATTATCGTTTTTGTTTATTTAGTACTGGTGTATCTTAAGAGCTGCAAATTGAACCTTATGACTTTGAAGGAAGTCAAAATAACCCACTATTTCGTCTATACATTTTCTTTCAAGTCGACTCAACTCAAGTGCATGGTTCCTATAAGATTTTCTAATTGTTGTCTCGTTGGGACTCGCTTAGAACTGCGTTCCGACATACCACGCGTTGATACTTTTGAATAAAAACGTCTCGGTGAATACCGTTTATATATATCGTAAATATAGATATACCGTTTATACGGTATACCTACCTATTTTATCTTCTGTTCAGATACAAACCTTCAACTCTTAAGTTTAATACCTACCCAGTAGTTACCACTCTACACTACTCTAGTCTGTGCCCATCAAAGTGCGTAGGGTGGGTTGCGATTAAAATAAATCGATTTATAAATCATTAAATCGGTCCGGGTACTTGCCACTTCCTGGCATAGTGCGTGGCACGTGGCAAAGCGAGCCACGCTTAAATAAGGGCGATTATACGCAGTAAAGATTGCCAGTGTAAATATGTATTGGTGGCAGTAAAACCGATTATTGGTGTATTATAATTGTAGGTGTTGATAGAAACTGAGAGTTTTAAATGTTAGCTTATATTTTGTTGAATAAAGTAAAATTGATCTGTCTCTGATCTGAATTGATTGATCTATTTTGGAAAATCTGCTACAGATACAGTAGTTTATCCAATAATGTCTGTATCATAATATAGGTTCATATAATAAGGCAAGCACACACACATAAACTTGAAATAAAATATCAAATGTTATTTATCAACTCATTTGCGTTAAAATATAATTGACTTTTATCTAGATTAAAATCTTAATTATTATTTTTACTTTTAATCTAAACTCGTCTTGAAGTAAAACAGGACTTATTTGCTCATTACTAGACACAAGACTGACATAATGACAACAAACAAACAGTATGAAGATATTCATACAATTTTCAATACACTATTTAGACCCCAAACAAAACAATGAAGACCAATATCCAGTCCACATTATGAAAGGAACACCTTTGAAATACAATCGAAACTGAACATTAAAGTCCAAATGCATCTGAGTTGTTTGAGGGGTGACCTGAATGGCAACATTAACTTCAATCCGCGCCAGGTGGGTGCCGAGCAGTATCGATCGCTAATGGTCTGCGCTGCGCTTCGTCGTAAATACCTCCGACCGCCACCAAGATCATTTTTATTCCACCACTAAAAAGTCTTACTGTTTTTTTTTGTATTTCTTTTTATGCTGTCTTTGATTGAGCCATGTGGCTGTTTAATGTGATTTTGTTCTGCAAATTAATCTATATTTAAATAATTTTTTAACAAGGGTTTAGTACAATACAAGGTAAAATGTAGGTTTTGTTAAACTCCTTTGTATGTACGTGACTAACAGTTAAGCATTTTAAAATACAACTTACTTTTAGTAGTTTATTAAAAGACCTTTGAGTATTTATACGAGTCGTAAATCCACCGAATTTTACTATTCGTACGACTTTTATTTCCCATAAAAAATAATAATTCAATAAAATCCTACATCAAGATAAAATTCTGCCCCAAAACTAAATCAAAGTTAATCAAAACTTTTATCTACCCCATTAAAACATAGAGACAAATTATGGCAATATATTTCACAACAAAAAACCGAGCTTAAAATAGAAAATGATATCATCCATCAATACAAATACAACGAAAAATTGCCAAAACAAAGGTGTATCAACAAAACATGATTCCGTACCATAGCAACCCCCCAACCCAATGAGAACAAAAGCAATTACCCAACAAATCATCTTTTGACGTTTAATGCCAACGCAATATGTTGTTACTCATACCAGCCCTATACATATTTTACAAATTCATTTATATATTTAGAGGGGACCCAAGTTCGTGCCTTGGGTAACCCCATTGATTATCAATTAGTTTTGTACTAGCATCATATGCTGTTGCATTATCTACACTATTTACACGGTCTTTTGTTGTGTGATGGGTGGTAAAATGAATTAGAACAGCATTCAAACAATAGTCGAACATATTTTTAGGTTGTTAAGGTAGTCATTAGCTTGTCTTAAGTCCGGAATTAACACGTCCATCTTCGTTATAGATGATTCTTTAATTATTGAGCCTTGAATCGATTTCTAGGGCTCGCTTGCTGTGGTTTATTGATTTACGGTTTGATTGTGACTTGCTCTTTTTGTTACTGAATAGATTATGTTTGTTAACTAATTATCTTGTTATCTTATGGTTTATTGAATCTTATTAGGGAAGCATCAGAGTAAAACAAATATATTATTTTTATCATTAAGTATTAGGTACTTATCTTTAGGTTATGGTACATTTTTGGAGTAAAATGAATACTAATCTGATTGTAAATGTTGTTGAATATCAAAAGAAGAATTATGTAGGATGAATTAGGTAAAATTTTATTGTATTTTTGTACTTAAATGATTTTAAAAATGTTTTCATTTTAAATTTCCAGTCGGACATAGTCCACCAGTCAGTTTACGAGCTCGTTCACTCTGAAGACCGGGAGGAGTTGCAGCGGCAGATCTTGTGGAACTCCTTCCTTCCTCCAGAGGTCAGCAACCTCACGCTGCAGGATGTACTGAGGCCGGACAGGGCACATCTATTAGAAAGGAGTTTTACCGTCAGATTTAGATGTTTACTTGACAATACTTCTGGATTCTTGGTAAGTTAGTCTTTTTAGTGATCTTATTCGTACCTATAAAATTTCTTCCTAAATATTGACATTGAACTAGTCATTTAGTTAATTTACTAACAATCACTCCTCTGGTGTTGAGGGTGTCCATGGGCGGCGCTGATCGCTTACCATCAGGTGATTCGTCGTTTGCCTCCTATCCCATAAAAAAAAAATGTCGCGGAGAACCTAACGGGTAACCGGGGCTCCGGCTCGACGTGCAGGAGAAGGAACGGGGTGGTTTTTACTCAGTAAGAGTCTGACACTCCCTTCCGCCTCACCCAGGCGGGAGCAGTAATTCGATGATTTTCCCCCCTTAAAAAAAAAAAAAATCCCATAAAAAAAATAATCGTATTTTAATTATAATAATATGCACCTGGTCGAAATATCGAGGTTAAAATGCAGAATAAGCATTAATCCTGGTATTTATTAATTAACTATGAAATGCACCGCAGTAATTTAATAAATTACGAGCGATGTCAGTGTTAACCCCTTAGAGAATGACAATATGATTGATGTTATGTTATGTATAGAAATACTCAGATATCTACTATCTCTAGGTTTAATACAGATTGCTATCAATATAGTTATCATTTTTGCCTTTTCATCACCCGAGCCATATAATACAAAAGCATAGCCTCATTGTACAATTCTTTTTCTATTTTGTAAAGGTAGGTTTATTATGATGTAGGTATAGTGCAATTTTTATAAATTCTTTGGAAGAATCTAAGTTTAATTAATGTTTTTTAACACTTCTTTATTCACTTACAGAGGCTTGACATTCGAGGTCGAATCAAAGTGCTTCATGGGCAAAATAAGAAAACAGAAGAACCTCCTTTAGCTTTGTTCGCAATATGTGCGCCCTTCGGACCTCCCTCACTCCTAGAGATCCCTCAGAAGGAAGTCATGTTCAAGAGCAAACACAAACTGGACCTGTCTCTAGTCTCTATGGATCAACGGTAAGAAAAATAATATTAATAAACTGCCTCACACAAAGAACTAAACTATGGAATGAAATTTTATTTGTGGTATTTTCAAATCGAAACAAAATTCAAGCCATCAAACATTATGCACTTTGAGGCAAAAAAAATAAAAAAGGTACAGTTTCCCCTGATCATAAAACAATTCAGAAGATGCACGTCCAAAAAGCTAAAAGTTACAATTTTCATTAAAACCACCATGACACACATTAACAAAATATCGAACTACTCATAAGATGACGAACAATACACACTTTAAATTAAATATTAAATAAAAGTTGACACCAAAACTAGGAACTGTAAGAGATATTTTTAGCAAAAACAGTAACAATAAAGATCACCATTGATGAGAAGAATACAAACCATATTAAATTGATAATTGACACTAGAACAGCGGACGGCTTAATTAATGGGAATGCCACAAGGTTTACAACAAAAAGGTGATTTCTAGACAATATCCATAGTTTTGAGGTTAACGCAATCGTGAGCTTTGAATTCCATCCTGGAAACGTTTTGCTAATGTTATGTCCATGAATCTTATATTCATTTTGGTATCTACAGGTAAGATTTGATGAAATGGAGGACATAATTGCAAAAGCTTTTGAGGGTTCTCTAGGTCGATAGGCAAAGTTTAATTAATATTTCAATAACATTTTGTTTCTATTTACAATGTCATACTGATCTGTCGCGGAGAACCTAACGGGTAACCGGGACTCCAGCTCGACGTGCAGGAGAAGAAACGGGGTGGTTCCCTTCCGCCTCACCCAGGCGGGAGCAGTCATTGGATGATTTTCCCCCCTTAAAAAAAAATACTGATAATACTAAAATAAAAATTATTTCCATCTTTCCAGGGGTAAAATGCTGCTAGGTTATACAGATGCAGAGCTGGCAAACATGGGAGGCTACGATCTAGTACATTACGACGATCTAGCTTACGTCGCCAGTGCGCATCAAGAATGTAAGTAGCGTCATGCATAACTATTAAATTTCAATGAATAATACACCTATATTTGTCAACGTAATTATTTTTGCATCATCCATTTTAAACATGCTAACTTATCGATAAATATTAATATTACAGGTGCTAGTAAGATATTTTTATATAACGTCACCATTTTATTTTCGTTGCAGTATTAAAAACAGGTGCTTCCGGAATGATCGCTTACCGCTTCCAAACAAAGGATGGTCAGTGGCAATGGCTGCAGACCTCTTCCAGACTAGTCTACAAGAATTCCAAACCTGACTTCGTTATTAGTACGCATCGACCGCTAATGTAAGTTCTTTCACTATTTTGGTAACTCTCTTCAATGGGTTCCGAATATATTTTTTGTTTTTTTTTAATAGTATTGTAGTCGTATTTTAATTAGTTCTCAAAGTATAATTAAATTTTCTACGTCAAAATTAGCTACAATAATGGCTGAATTTAAACTGAAACTTATTTGATTTTATTACTTTCAGGGAGGAAGAAGGCAGAGATCTATTAGGCAAAAGAACAATGGACTTCAAAGTCAGCTACCTCGATACCGGTCTCACTAGCCTCTACTTCTCAGAGACCGAACAGTTGTCTGGCTGCGAAACCAACGTTACAACTCCTCCCAGAACTGCAAGGAGATACAAAACACAACTTCGAGATTTCCTATCAACTTGTAGGAATAAAAGAAGAGTTCCGACAACTCCTGCACCCCCTCCTGTCGACTATTTAGCAGCAGACGCAGTAGCGGCAGCATACACTAATTTAAATGGCGCATACACAGCTCCTTACGGAGAATATCCTCCAGCCCCAACCTTACATTACGCTCCGCCGCCTCTAGACGACAGATTCTTAACAGCAGACAACCTCTTTCATCAATACAAACCTTTATCTTATCATTATACTCCCTATGCGCCGAATGGCTTCCTTGAACCTGCGCCTCCGCCTGGTTATGAAGTGGCCCCCACGTATCATCGACCACCTTCAAGAGAGTACACGTATGTGGACAGCAGTGGAAGATATATGAGTCCTGTCACTGGACAGGAGAGAAGGTCGCCTTCCGTAGTGCCTGGACCGAGTCCTGCAGGGTCGAGTAACTCGGAGCAGGAGAGGATGCAGCAGCCACAGGCCTCGGAAATGCCACGGCAAACAGTGCTTATGTGGGGTGCTGGAGGAGCTGCTCAAGAAGTTCCAGTCGAGTACTCGCCTCCTCAGGTTTGGCGTTACCATCCATCACATTATCATACCGCTGAAGCCACTCAATGAATTTAATCTAGTATTTTTTTGACTTCCACAAAAACGAAAAGTATAATTGGATCTTTAAAAAATCATTGTGAATGATCGATGAAATACTTAGAAAAAATATCGCAATCTTTGTTACCAAGACTTTATTTTCTTATACCTCGCTCAGTGGTGAGACCGAGTCGGTCTTTAGGTCTTCTCGACTTAAACAGGGTCCTTCCAGTATCGATATCTGATACGTCTTGATGTATATTTATAATTCGAGAATTTTATCCAAATATATTAAAAGATAGTCGTTTTGTAGAATAAATGGTACGAATCACGCGACGCAATGTTACACATGATAGATTTAAATGCTTTGTAAATATTTTTTTACATTTTTATTAAATAGCTTGCTTTGAGTGAGGGTTTCTATATATGTTAGCTTCATAGATCTTACCGAAGCGAATGATACATAGTTTTGTGAATGTGATTGTGGTTTGTGTCTTCATATTGTTTTAACAATACCTTGTTTATAAGAGGTTACTTTTCAGTCCTAAAATAGTTATATTCTAGTTCAAAATTATCATTATTAAAATCTATATTACCTTAAACTACAATTGTGTAGTGAGAATTATTATTTTATGCCTCGATTTTTTTTATTTCTTCCATTCTATGTAAATTGTGATTAAAACTTGTATTCCTATCATTACAGGCACTTCACAGTACTTTAAGTTACGCAGCAAGTCTCGTATAAACAAGGTACATATTACTATTTTTATTACGATTTCGCTGTTTTTATCAAAGCGAATATTTTTGCAGTACATATCATTATATTTAGCACGCAATGATCACATATCACTTATCTAATGATGCAGTCGATCCCTTTTATATACTTTCTTACTTTTGAGACACTTTATGGAATAATTGTTTCTATGACCACTTAGTATCTACTTCACCCTATTCCCTTTAAAAAGGTATTGATGGAAATTTTGTATTATTTATCTGACAACTGACCAAACTTCAATGCGAGTACTAATATCAATATCATTTGTCTAGTTCAGAATAGTTAAATTAAAATGGATTTTCTACTAAAAGCAAATATTTACATTAAAACATATCAAAAGCACCAAATTTACTGTACACACATTTTTGACACCTAATATTGGTTGCAATTCAGTTATCCTTTTAACACTTACTTCGATTTTATTGTCAATAAAATAAATAGACTTATTATTGTTTCTACAATCATCTATAACCTTAGTATTGGTTGAAAAATTGGAATTGTGTTCAATATTAGTCACTTGGTCTTGCTTATGCACTATGATACTTGTAAGGTCGACTGTCTGCACCGCCGAACCAACGCCACGTAGCATTTTGTACATACACTTGCCGTGCCTCTCACCTCTTATTTTATTGAAAGCACTGAAATTTTGGTGACTTCCGAAATATAATTTTAGGTATTTTAAACCAAGATGTGACTGAAAAGTTTCATGATAGTTAGAACTGAGGTAAAAACCCTAACTTTTTGGTGGTATAGCATCTTAAACGTTACCCTTTTTCTTAGTCTAGCTTTATTAATCGGCCATACAGCCTATCTAAATATTTTCTATTGCTCGTGTGACAAATATATTCTTCTCCATATTATTACTTTCTATTTATATCATTCGGTGAACCTAAAAGAGTTATAGAATGCTTTACCAATATAACATGGATAAAATCAAGTTTGTTAGTATCTTACAAGACTACTGAATTTCGTCCATGATTATTTCTATCTGAATGAAGATTTGTATTATATTATATTACAGTCATATTTCTTAAGGCTCCAGAATTTCAGCCAGTATTTATTTATTTATGTATTTATTCATTTCATTGTGCTACAGTGACCAACGTTGGTACGGCTACGGTGACCTAGCGTTCAAATGACTCTTCCGCCGTCGACATAGAGTTTAAGATAGCTTAAATTTTTGATAGTTCTTTGTAGAAAACATTGGACCTTGAGTAAATTTGAATAGAACATAATTTTAAAAGATACTAATCCAAAATTATAATCTTACTTTAATGTGTTCGACGTTCTAAATTGAAAAAATATTATTTAAATAGTACAATTGGTATGTAACTTAGTTTGTTTAGGGATCCAATGTTATCCACAAAGTAACAAACATCAAGAAAATATTTCGTCTTCTTATTGTAAAATAAAAATAGATTTTATCGATACGGGTCGTATGACTATAGGTTTTGTAATGTATCGAGTCTTTAATCGATTTAATCTTCCATTGTGTGACTTTCATTTCCAATAACTTAATTGTTAAGAAAAATAAATTAAAAATCACATTTTATGATAAATTATTAACATATCAATATTTCGGACCATAAAATACTTTTTCCAATAAGGCCTACGTTCCACGACGCGTCATCTGACGAATGCGTGCAACCTACAAAATAACTATACGCAGATTTTTACGGGAAGTGAGTGACGCAACTTTGCCGCTTCGTGAACTGTTGCAAGCAAGCATTTGTTACTTGTAGGTCGCCTATTGTCGATTACATGCATTCGTCAAATGAAGCTTCGTGAACAATAAATAAGGCAGGCACTTATGTCGATAAATAAATAAATAATTCACCATAAATGTTTTAAATTGACAACTGATTTTATTTATACGATACATTAATTTATTATGTAAATCGAGTCACAATAATTTAAGAAACATGCAGGTCACATTATGATATAATTTATTAGACAGTCGTAATAAGTCTGTCAATAATTGCTCATTAAATAGTTAACAGGACAATTAAAAATGTTAGATAAATTCGTTGTTTTAACATGTCTAATTACCTATTAATGTGTTCTTAGTATTGCTAAAAGGATACAGTCATGTTTACCTGTCATTACTGTACTATTAATCATGGAAATGATTTAATATTTTAATTCTCCAACACGAAATTAAAACATTAATTTACATTTTTTTTTTGCAAGTTGACAATTATTTCAAATGCCAATATTCGACCAAGATATTGTCAAAACGGCAATAAATAATATAAAATGTGTGTTCAGCCAACATTTTTCCATGAAATTAATAAATCACCATAATTTTACTCTAATTTATTAATTAAATTGTAAATAAATAACTAGGTTTAGAAGCTTAACCATGTATTATTGAATTAATTATAATTATTAATAATTATTTAAATGGACATAATTATAAATAAGATAAAGTTATCCGAACAATTTCTGTATTTATTTTAGCATATCGTAATACATAATGTAATTAAAAGAAAATCAAATAAATTTTTCATGCCACTGATTTTGGAATTTTATTGATACAAATCCATCGATCAAAATATAAAAGGTGAGTGTTTCAAAGTCAAAATCATTTATTTCAATTAGACCAGGAAGGCACTTTTGAACGTCAAAACAAAATATTTAAATAATAAGAAAAAATGACAGTCTGTAGGTCAGTCCTCTAGTGGAGCTATTTGCTCACGTATTTTTTAACAAAGAGTAAGGTTTTAAGTACCGTCATAATGGACTAATGAAGGTCAAACTTTCTTTCAAGAAAGCTCTATAATATTAAATAAATCCATCTATTAGTTAAAAGCGACTGCCTCGTTGGCCGAGTGATCGCAAGTGCAACTGCCTCTCGGATTCGATTCCCGGGTCGTGCAAAGTATTACTGGGTTTTTATAAATTCTCAGTGTTAGTTCGGAGTTGTGCACCTCTGCCTACCCCTTCGGAGACAAAAGTCGTGATGTTATGTTAAAACCGATTAATGGATACTTCAGGACATTTTTACCACAATATGACCATATAAATAGCGTCCTAGCTATAAATAAAGGAATTTTCAGTTGGTTCACTCATGATTTGTATAAATAATACCAGTTATAGTTATTATCATCATTACTCTACTGCTAGACTATGGGAGTACCTATTGGGTTTCCACTACATCATACATCATACAGTAAAAGTCTGATATCTAACGCCATCTATTAAGAAATGTACAAACTACGAGAGAAACTAAACATTGCACTGCAGCGGTCAACAAATAAGCGTCTAACCCGAATGAGTTCTACAAGTTTCAAACAGAGGGCGCTGTAACAAAGTTGATGTAACATCAAGGCTGTCATTTTCTGTAGAGGTAAGCAGTAGGAACTAAGATTTGGACAACGCTTTGATTTAGTAGGCCTCAAATATATACAACTTAAAATATAAATAACTATGAACTAAAATATTTACACCTTAAAAAAAATAAGCTATAATAAGGCATCAAAACAAAATTTTCCTCATCATTATCGTGAGGTAGGGAGCCCAAAAGACTGGCAGCATTACCACGTTGAATGCCAATGCTTAACCTTTGCCCAAGGTAGTAGCCAGCCCTTCGATCACCTGAAGTGTCAACCATCCTCCTTACAATATATTTGTAAAGAAGATGTGCACTTGGGCCCCACGGCCCTAAAGTTCGAAAACAAATATCATAATGATATAACTTAATGTCCACAAAATTGTGAATAAGTTACCTATTAAGGTTTTAATGAATAATTTTGTATGAAACTTATGACACCGACTTCTAACCTATCAGTGGGTGGGTAACCTATCAGTACTAATAATAGTTATTTGATTAGATAGATTCAAGGGTCCGACAAAGTATTAGGTACTGTGCTTTTAAAAAATTCTCAGTAGGTAGTAGCACGGAGTCTGGAATTGTTCCCGGTATATGGCAAATATGGCAATAGACTCACCTCCTAATACATGAGAATGAGACTCATAACTTAATAGTGTAAAGTGGGTGTTACATTCAGGGGCGTAGCTAGCGCCGTATCTGCCGTATCAATTATACGGGGTCCCCGGACTACAGGGGCCCCCAACGTGCCTAAGCAAAAATTAATAAAAACTTTCCAATTTTTATTCTATTTCAGTAATCGCAAAAGTCAAAATAAACAATTTTTTCCCGCGTAAAGCATGCATTCAAAGGTTAGCAGAAACTTAAGAAAAATAAAAGTTATTAAGATTTTCGGTTTTCATACAATTTATAAGTATTTTATGTAAAAAAAAATCTTTTGTGAGAAATGTTTATAGTTCAAGGGCCCCTAAACAAATTTTTATACGAAGGCACGCTACGCCACTGGTTACATTGTACAGTGGCATTAAGTGCCATAATGTGCACCTCTGCCTACCCCTTCGGGTGTAAAAGGCGTGATGTTTTGATATGATGACGTCGAAATTTCAAAGTTATTGTTTATAAAGCTGTAATAAATAAACAAAGTAGATGTGAGAGCGGCGCGTGCGCCTACTATGTTGGTAATTGTATAGAGCTGATGATACATCTTTCACAATTACTGTTTAGAATATTGGGTGCGATGACGCTATGTAATATGTAATTGTTGTTACTCGTAAGCACAACCATGATGCAGGAAAAAATAAATTCTAGTATTAGACAATTTTCTTTAAGGCATATACTATTTTTTAACTCGTCGAGTACCGGTTTTGTAGACACAATTATAGAACAATAGGTTGCGGTCACCGGTGACCGCTTGGTGTTTGACAGTTTAAAGTTCACACTTGTCACTGTCTACAAAGTTGTAAAAAATCAACTTTACCGTAACACTATGTGAATAGAATACTACTATAAAAAAAATCTAATATTAACCACTCATTCATCTCCATTCACTCCTTGAATCCTAATCACGACGTTATACCGTATGTCCTGAAACAAGTTTTATTGGACTGACAGAAATATAAGTATTCCTATTAATATTACACATTATTAATTTATTTAGATGACACATTTTGAAACCTTATAAAGAATTGCGTATTACTTAAAAACGCAATAAGTATTTTCGCAAACTCTAAACTTTAGAGCAGGATATGCAATTTAAAATTTGCTTACCACTAGGCGAGATAGTGGTCAAACGTCGGCCCAACAAATATATAAAAACCCGGCGAACTCCGTTTCACCACCAGATGGCTTCGTTTTACGCAACACTAGCTTTTACCCGCGGCTTCGCTCGCGTCACAAAAGGATAAAAAGTAGTCTATGTGACATATACCAATACATACAGCGCCATCTATACCAATACTTTTGTTTTCCCTCGGGAATATCAATTTTTTTCGGGATAAAAAGTACCCAATTATTTAATCCAGACTACTAACTTTACGTCTGCAATAATTCAATGCAATCGGTTTAGTAGTTACGGCGTGAAGTCGGAACAAACAAACAAACAAACAAACTCACATTCCCATTTAAAATAGTATAGTAAGGATAAGGATTCTTTGCTATAAACCTCACGGAGCCCGAGACCTTTCCAACGAATGCAAAACCGTGGAAATTGGTTCGTGCGTTCTGGAGTTATAGCGTCAGGAAGGAAAACCCGACTTACTTTTATATAATAGTTGACAAGCAATCAATCACAGCGTAACCTAACAAAGGTAAGTCCATAACTAAACAGGAAAACAGAGTTCCATAACAAACCTGACATCATCCTAATGTAAAAAACAAAGGAAAGAAAAGTAAGACAAACAAAAATTATAAAGCATGAATGGTATCATCATCTCTAGAGATGCCGTCACAGTTGGATGGTTGAGCGCTATCCGGTGACGTTCAGTCATTCGCTGATGAACTTTCGACTAGGACAGACGTTCGCTCACAAGTCATAAGTATTTTCGCAAAGAAAAGTGTTGTGATAATGCAGTTAGCTGATATTTTGTGTTGGGTGGTGTTGACGGTAAGTGTACCTTCATTTTGTTTAATTCTTTTTAGTGTTAAATTTAATCTGATTGAAATTTAGCTAAGGGTTGAGGAAGATCATTTTGATATTTTGGTAAAGTTCTATTTTATTTTGGGGTACTATATATGTTCCAGTCTCAATAAAATAACTAGACTGTGTAGTTTATAAGTGAAGTGCGTGTAAAATGTTTAATTATTACACCAAAAATAAAAACAATGTTCGCCGTTTGTCAATATTATTTTTAGTTAAATATAATACGATTTTCAATATTTTTAACTGATTTGAGTATTTCAGTTGTAAACAAAAGTGTGTGTGACTTTTTATTATATTTCATCTGCATTTACATAGGATTACATACCTGGTCAAATTAATGAACTTAAATCTGAATAATACTGGGCAAAGTATTACTGGGTTTTTGGAAAATCTCAGTAGTAGCACGGAGTCTGGAAATGTGCCAGGTATATGGCAATAGGCTCCCTGCCTATTACATGGGACTCATAACTTAAATAGTGAAAAGTGGGTGTTACATTGTACAGTGGCATTAAGTGCCGAAAAGTGCACCTCTGCCTATCCCTTCGGGTATAAAAGGCGTGATGTTTTGGAATCTGAATAATCCAGTAATATTTTAACATTTAAACACTTGTGTATGGATTCATTAAATAAATACTTTGACTACAAACTAACCATGGTTAGTCTCCGTCATAGAGTAACGAGAAGATACCGTTTAAAATACAATTACCTCTGTAACTCGTCCTTCAAGAAAAAACTAGAACTTAACACCAGGAATGCAACTTCTGCCGTTATATTTTCTAGTAAATAGAATATACTCAACGGCCATTAGTAGTTACGGTACGGGTGCCTGGAAATAGACTCGACTCTTAATCTAGTCGCAAGACAAGTGGAGAAAAGAGGGTGTTACCTACATTTAATATTTATTTAAGCCTTTGGGGAATCAAGATCAACTCTTAGAGAGTTATGCTTGTAGTCCAGTATTATTATTTAATAACAAAGTTTTGCATTGTTTGAAAGTTTTTATCTCTATGCTTTACTATACCTACATTTAGTTTAGACACTATGAATTAAACATGATCTTTTACTCATATTTGATTTTTAAATAATATATTCTTATCTTAACATAAATAGTGAAAAGTGGGTGTTACATTGTATATAACATTACATCACGCCTATTATCCCTAAAGGAGTAGGCAGAGGTGCACACAGAAGTAACACCCACTTTTCACTATTTATGTTATGAGTCCCATGTAATAGGGGTGACATTGTACAGTGGCATTCAATGCCGTAATGTGCACCTCTGCCTACCCCATCGCGGAAGGCGTGATGTTATGTTATGTTAAATTGATCATAGGAGAAAACTAAACATGATACTATTGTACAATGTGCCATTATCACAGTAGGTCTCACATTACACTAACATCACATCACCAAAAGAATCTATTATAATGTAACATCACGCCTTTTATCCTCGAAGGGGTAGCCAGAGGTGCACATTACGCCACTGTAAGTATACAGTACATTAGTAACACCCACTTTTCACTATTTATGTTATGAGTCCCATATGATAGGGGGTGAGTCTATTGCCATATACCGGGCACATTTCCAGACTCTGTACTACTACTGAGAATTAAAAAAAACAGTAATACTTATTCAACCGGGAATCGAACCCGAGACCCCTAGCCCGGCAGTCGCACTTGCGACCACTCGGCCCATGAGGCAGTCTGATCAATTTAACCATATCATAATTAGCATTATCAATAGTGAAACGCCCCTTTCTGAACATATTGACAGTATTATGTAGATTGTGATTGTAGTA